TATATATATATATATATATATATATGTGTGTGTGTGTATGTATATATTAGGGATGCACGGTTATTTAAATGCGATTGTCATGCACATCTCATCAGTAAAGCCGGTTCTGCAATCAGTAGTAAATCATCATCACGTGCTTTCAGATGGAGCAGAATTTACTACACAGAGCCGTAGTTCACCGACAAGTTACGCAAAAAAATTTAAAATAAAAATCGCAGACGATTTTATTGCACGATTCTGAAATCGAAGAAATCGTTCGCGATAATGACAAGTGTTGCATAGCTTCTCGGTGAACTACGGCTCTGTGAAGTAAATGCTGCTCCATCTGAAAGCATGTGAAAAGAACATTAAATAAAATATTTTTACTCCAAACTCACTTCATAATGTCAGTCGAGTGTTTGAAATAAATCCTTCTGTGAGATGATGTGGCTTCTTACACAGAATAAGGCACGCAACATATTTCATAGTATTTAAGCAGTGATAAAGGCATTGCATTATAAATATACTTTATTTTAATGAAAATTATAATAATAAGAACTCCGATAAACCATATATTGCTGTAGTCGTGTGTTTAATAGTCACGTTGAATCAATGAAAGCAGTTGAATCTTCTGTTTATTCAGCTGCAGCGATAGGCATTTTCTGGGTTTCTTCTGCGAGGCGTATTTGGAGTTTCAGCGCGAGAGCGCCCTCTGGCCTTTGGATGGAGATTTACTGCTGATCACAGAACCGTGCTTCACTGAAAGATACGCATGACAATCGCAGCTTCTGTCGAATCGCGATCTCGATTCCATTTCGATTTATCGTGCAGCCCTATATTCTAGCATCATCCATGCATGCATGAAATAGATAGTAGCATGTGAAACACCTCACCAGAGTAGCGCTAATTAAACATCACTATTTCTGTCACTGATTTTGGCCACCCAAAACTATGAAACTTTTTTTTAGCTCAATAAAATAAAAACCCAGTACTTGCCATTCAAAGAGGGGGATCTAGTTGATCCTAAACTAGACTTTGGGATCAACTACACTTTTTTTAAAGGGGTCATATGATGCTGCTAAAAAGAACAGTATTTTGTGTATTTGGTGTAATTAAATGTGTTTATGTGGTTTAAGGTTAAAAAAACACATTATTTTCCACATACTGTACATTATTGTTTCTCCTCTATGCCCCACCTTTCTGAAACGTGTTGATTTTTACAAAGCTCATCGGTCTGAAAAAGCGCGGTGTGCTGTGATTGGCCAGCTATCCAGAGCGTTGTGATTGGCCGAATACCTCAAGCGTGAGACCGAAATGTTACGCCCCTTAACATACTGTGATGATGCCCTGTCAGGCTGGAGCGATGATTCAAAAACATGAAAACCCATTATAAACGAGGCATTCGTTGCATCCAGTGGGGACATAATTATGGATTATAATGACTTGTACTTAAAATGTGCTGCACACATCCGAATATTTGTGTTCCAGTTATGTTCTGGAACAGTGTTGTAAATACAACTTAATCACTGATTTCTAGTTGTGTCCATTTTTGGAAGGTCAAACAAAGTAGATTCGCTTTCACAACGAAACAGCGTCACACACCGCAGCCTACAGTGAGCATAGGCCGGCGGCTAGAGTGAGGAACAGCAGGAGGGTTAGAGTGAGCAGAGGCACGGGCTTGAGAACGGCGCAGCCGGCGATTTCGACGAAGTAGTGTCCGGAAGGACATGTGACGACTCCGGACTGGACTCCGCTTCGTCCGTGGTTAAAAGCCGAGCCGGCGATCCACAGCGCAAAGTTGTAGTATTTCCTCAGCAACCAGCACGGATCAGCTCCAGGCATGGCGAAGCAGATATCGTCCTCTTTTGGAAGACCAAACAAAGTAGTTCTGCTTTCACAACGAAGTACACAGTGTCTTTACGTCATGGCAGTGGAAACAACAAAACTACAGCGAGAATAAAAGTTACGCCTTCTTTCTTTGCATGAACATTTGGGCGGCTTTATGCAAATCTTCCCACAGAGCGACGTAGGTATGTTGGGGCGTGTTAGAACGAGCCGTTTTAGGTAGTCGTGGCTAACTCTTAACTTTTATAAAGAATATCTCTTTGGATTTGAGACTTTAGTCTTTGCAATTTTACAGATCTTCTTTATGCACCAAGAGCTTGTAACACTCCAAAGAGAAAGGAAAAATTGAAATCGCATCATATGACCCCTTTAAAGCACACCCTATGTTAGATCAGACAGGTCTGATCTCATCCCAACACAGACCACATGTGCCAGGCAGGGAAGTAAAGGGGTCTGGGTACATGTATAATCATTGCATCTTACCATGTTTACTGGAAATGTAAAAAAAAAAATAATAATAATTAAAAAAAAAAACATTAGGCTATGGCCTAAAACCCCCAAATATTGCCTAAAACTGAATCTAGTATGGAAACAGACGAGTATATGCTTCAAAATGGCTGCCAGGGTCAGTGGGAGCATCAACAGTGGGAAATAGATCATAACATATCTAATGTAGATATTATATTGAATATTTCTTCTGGGATTCACCAAAATCGTATATGCTGTAGTGAAACTTTAAGCTGAGTTGACTAAAAACACATGTTGCTGAGTGTCTCAATATCTGCAATTTTCATACAGACTGGTATTGTTCACTAATAGATCAAATAAAGAACAACAAAAAAAAGGAATTGAGGATTTGTCTAAATAATAACCTGCAAAGTAAGCTGCAGAATATGTAAAGGAATCAAAACGTATACGTTAACAGCTAAATGAGCTAAGCTGCTAGCTTATAAGGGAACCTATGACTAGCTTGTTTGCTACATGTCTTGTTTAATTTTATTTCAAAACGACCAAACAAAACATAACCTCGCATTGTAAAGCTATTCTAGGTGTCTGAGGTATAATGTACCTCTCCTTACCTTTCTTCAGTTCGTTATACCAGACTTTGACGATGGTTTTGGAGTGTTTTCTGTGGTGGATGAGCCACAGTGAAAGGGTCTGCACGCTCTGCTGGGAGTTACTCAGTTCTGATAATTTCTTCTCCAAAGCAGGCTCCGAGAACACGGACATTTTCAATTACAATTAAGAATTGGGTAGAAAAGGCTCCTTGCCTATACCAGGCACCCGAGGGTCGAGGATATTAAAGCTGAAAACTCCTCAAGCTAGCTACACATTCCCTGGTTTACCACAGAGCGCACAGTGAGCATGCGCAGTCTCACCGCGCATGTGTGAGTCTGGGACAAATCTTAGCGATGACCACACAGACAGCAGTTTAGGCCATGCAGTCTAGCTCTGTTTCAAACTGCAATCATGTATTCTTCTTCTTCTTCTCTCGAGTTTTTGGCGGATTGGCAAACCAAGCAATCATGTATTAGATTAATTGATGGGATATATAGTTTTACGGGGAATACAGAGGGGATCAGGCACTAATTTATTACAGTCAGAGACTCTTAGATGAAGACTCCAGCACAGCATAACGCAAAAAAAAAAGGAAAAGGAAAAGAAAAGAAAGAAATAAGCAGAATAAATATTTTCAACATTGATAATGATAAACGTTTTTATAAATAAACGTCAGCAGTAATGGCTGCAGAAAATTCAGCTTTGCGATCACAGGAGTACTTTTCAAAATATATTTTTTAATAAATGTAATATTTCACAATATTTCTGTTTCTAATGTATTTTTGATTAAATAAATTAAGCCTTGGTAAGCATAAGATACTTAAAAATCGTTAACAATTCTTACTTTGTTTAAGTTGTTTATTGTTTATTCGTGTACACATGTATGTACACACTGGCCACTGTGGTTTAAGCTGATCTTTCAGCTAGTGCTAAAACAAAACCAACCAAAACCAGTCTAACTGTAACATCGACTATGTAACATAATTTTAAAAAATAATAAAGTAAATAAATAAAGTTAAATTAATTTTAAAAAGTTACAAGTTTAATAACTTTGGTTGTTGTTGTTGTTGTTATTATTATTATTATAAATTTAAAGCAGGGTGAAATGTTTTACAGACCTGTTAGTTTATTTGTTTAAATGTTTAATTTCTGTCCAATCTGGCCTGTACCCTTCTAAATTATAACTGTTTTTTTAAAAGTGATCAGTTTTTTTATTATCTTTTAATTTTCAGGGACAGGAGAAGAGATTGGGAAACTTGTTAGGAAACAGTCAGTATTTAATATGGAGCCACTAGTATGTATTTACTGCTTCTCTCCTGAGCTGCTCGTATAGTTCAGAGCTCTCAGGGTTCAGCTCACTGTTGTGACATCATAATGGAGATTCCGTTCTGGCAGCTCTAAACTGCTGTTCTGACTAATTGTCTTCTGTTGGTGTGTTAGGAGTGAAAAGATTGAAAGCTACTTTCGTGACTTTCTGCAGATATTGACGACAAATATTGAATTCACTTGCAGCATTCAGTGTCCACAATGGCACTGTTTAGCAGTGTATTTAGACAACTTTTTGAGCGTTTTGCTCACTTCTTGCGCAGAAGGGAGACACCTTTGAGGGCACAGCAGTGTGCAGCGCAAGAACGGGCGGCACTAGAGAAACTTCCAGAGGCATCGTTGACAAAGGCGGGTGTGAGTGAGGCCTTCCACTTCACTGCCAAAAACAGGAAGTGCAGGAGGAGACGCCGCCAGGTAACTTAGCTGAGAAGTACCAGCTTGCACTGAAAAAAAAAAATTGGTTTAGAATCAAGTTTCACTCAGTAATTGCTAGTAAATTTCACTATTAATTACAAAGAAACATCAACGCAGTGAATTAAATGTGAAATTTTGAAAATAGAAAGACTGAAATAGTATTGTCTTGTATAATTTACTACAATAATCTTTATTTACAAACTTGAAACATTGGTTTTTACAGTATGGAAAGAAAGAGAAGGAAAGACAGGTGAAGAGAAAGGTGAAGAAGAAGAGAGAGATGAATGAGGGAGGAAGTCATAAAGACAAGGCTGAAAAAGGAAGAGAGACACTTAGCCTTGAAAAGATAAAGGATAGACGACATGTGCCGCAGAAAAAAAGAGAGTCTGCCAAATTCACAGAGATGCAGAGTCTAGAAAATTTGATGGAGGGAGAAAGTGAGCATAGAGAGGAGAAGAGAAAACTGAAGGAACAAAAGACCACTGAGCCTACTCCACTTCTTGTGGAGGTCAAACCTCAGCAAACTCTAGTCAGTCCTCCAGTGAGATCTTCCTTCTTGAAGCCAATAGAAGAAGAAGAACTTCCGCTGCTTCCAAGTGTCTCTGAAGACCTTCCTGTACCAGCTGTTCTCTTCAAGACCCTGCCACCAGTGACCAGACCGCCCATACATCCTCAAAAGCCAGCTCCTGCACCAGAGGAAGTGTCCCTGCCATGTTCTCCTCTTCAAGTGGTTCCTCCACGTCCCACTCCAGCACCTGATGAACTGTTTTCCCTCCGACGCTCCCAGGTGAGTCCTCCCAAACAACTGGTGGTTCCTCCAAGCCCCACTCCTGAATCTGATGAAGTTGTTGATCTGCAGCGTTCTTCAACTCAAGTGTGTCCTCCCAGCCCGGTGAAGCCTCAGCCGTCCACTTCTTCCCTGTTTGAGCCGCCTCCACAACTCATGCTCATCGACATAGAGGATGAGGAGACCGAGTATGTGGAGTACACAGGGAAGACCTTTCGGGCCTGTGGCTTACCCAAGTCTGAAAGCCCCCGACCGCTGGAGGCTGAAATGAAACCGAGACCGATGTTAGCTTGGTTGGAGAGTGACTGTGAGGTGCTGGAGGAAGTGTGGGCGAGTGAAGTGGTGGAGGTCCAGGGATTTGAGGAAGTGAGAGATAACCCAGATGAAATGGGAGACTCCAAGGCCATAGAAGGGCATTTGGATGACGCAAAAAAGGAGATGGATGAGCACATGATGAAGCTGTACTGTGTAACCTCTCCTGAAGGTCCCAAAAATGAGACCCAGCACAATGTGAATGTCCAGCAAGAGCCAAAGAGCAAAAGAAAAGTGCCACTTTTTCTGTTCACCTGGGCAGGAGAGAAGGCAAAGAAAAAGGAGCAGAAGAAAATACGGAAGGAGAAGCAGCGAAGAGAAAAAGAGTTGCTGCTTGAACGCTACAGGAACGATCCAAAACTGAAGCACTTGTTGATCAACAAGCACAACCACCACTACTGCTCCTCTGAATGAAGATCATTGTCCCTTCCCAAAACATCCTCTTGACCTTTAACCTACTGCACAATTCTGTGTACAAATAAAAAAACTGTGCAAACTAAAAGTTGAAAGATCCATGCAAGTTTCCTGACTATTAAAACATAAAAACTGTTTAACGTTCAAATGTTTAATATGAAACATGTTTGAAGTGATTTTCAACCCTTTTGAATGACCATTTTTAACTAAGAACAGCCACAGGAAGGGAATGATTCATCTCAGATCACAACATTAAAACTACATTCCCTCCCTAAGAATACATACCATATGCTTGTTGTTTTTGACAAAAATTGCAGGTGTTTACTTATTTATAATGACTCTTTCAGAGGCAAAGACTTTTGCAGAGTCATGTTAACAGTCATATAATACAATATATATATATATATATATATATATATACACACAACTTCACATTTTCTAAACAAAGTTTTGGTAGTGAGGACTATTAAAACTGAAAAATCTGTTTTTTAAATAATCATAATTATGATGAGATAAAAAGATGTAATGTTACTCTTCCTTCATGACACTTTATTTATACAACTTTATACTAATAAATCACAAATACTAGAGTCAGCTTTACATATTTTTCCATACATAACACTCAGAAAATAAGGTACAAAAGTGGTCACTGGGGCAGTACCTCTTCAAAAGATACACATTTGTACCTAAAGAGTCCATACAGTACCCAAAATGTTTTGTGTAGATTTTGAACCTTTTGTAGACATGGAATGAAACGAGCAGCTGTCTTTGAATGATTCACTCAAATGTTCAAGATACTTATTCGTTTAAAACTGGTCTCATACCCATTTTCAACAATTCACGTCAGGATACATTTCATGTATGATTTGCAAACTACTCCAGTCACTAAAAGTACAACAAATGACCATTTCAAGCTGTGTTTTCCTCTAACTTTATTTTTGTAATGAAAAGCAAACAGGCTACAGAGGAACTTTTAGTTTAATGCAAATGTACAGTGCAAAGAGATCTACAAAGCCCAAACACACTCTACACACATAGCTTTACTTATGCAGAAGTTAGTAATAAAGACAAATATTTTATTAAAATAAACAAAAGAAGGTTTATGCCACCCAAGTCAATATTTTCTTAACCCATGCCTTTCACAGCCAGTTCAGTGTTCAATAGCTCCACATGCAAGGTAGGAGATTTCAGCTGGGTACATGACATTTCAATGTGACAAGTTAACTAATTAGCTGTGAAACCGTTGTACATTCACATCTGCAACCATTTGGATTGAATATTCATTAGTATACAATTTTAATTAACAGAAATCTGTCTTTACATACTACAATTAGCCCTAATATGCTTAAATAAATGCCTGTCAATGTTTAGTGTTTTTAAATTCTTAAATTTCTAGGACAATTTAAAAAGAACCATATTACCATGTTCATGACAATTCGTCCATTACCCAGCAGACTTCCTCTGGCATTTGAATAAATAACTTATAAATAACCACAAAAACATCAAATGCAAGAATTATCCTAGAAATATCCTGTTATTGTCCAGCACATGGAACATTTTTGCAAGGTAACATGCAACTAGCGATATTTCCAAAAGCATCAAATAATCTAATATTCCATTCACATTTGTTAAAATAAGGGAATAACATCTCTTGCCCTCAATCACACACACACATACACAAACAAAACAAAATGATCTATTTAATGGAAAAAAAGTAAAGTAGTCAGCATGAAAGAGAAAAGAGTTATGTAATGTAGTGTTTGAGCCTCAAATACTGACCTTTGGAACTATTTAATAGTCAGGACCACCTCACAAGCTCACCTTCCTCTCAAAAATAAAAAGTTATTATACTCAGGCTTTATTTTACTTCTCATAGTTATACTGTAGATAACACAGTCAACTGAACAAACGTTTGTCATCTTGGGAGTGTATATATTGGTGGTATTATGTTGCAAAGCAGCAATGTTATAGAAACGCACACATTAGTGCGCAGCACAGACAGATATTCAGATATTCATGCCTAGAACTAGAGGGGTGTGAGCTTTATTTGACTATTTACAGCTACTGTGTATATATATATATATATATATATATATATATATGCAAATGTTTGGAGAAGTATCCATGTCTGTCTGACATTCTTCGCTGTGTTAGACTATCATGCAGAGACTTTATTTTTTGACTAGTGGAGCACATTAGCATCAGTAATATTCGTTACTCTGACAAACAAATCTCCGCTCACTGATATCTGCTCTTTCTTTCTGCCTCTCGATCAACCAGAGAGCAAAGGTGCAAAAGTTAGTCGAGTGAAATTTCTGCCATGCCGTTTGGATGCAGCTGTTGAGTCATATCATGTTATACATCTCCAGAACCAGAAGCGGTTTTAACAAGGACAGAGTGAGCAATGTAGAGGAACTACATTCAAACGGGTTCTTAAATAATTTTCTGATTTCTAATTTTGCCCAGAAAAGGACAAAGAGCTTATGGCTTGATCAGCCTGTACATGTTGACATACAGGGAATGTGAAAGACAAATAAATTAAGAATATGAGGAAAGGTGAAGAAATGTGTGAGGTGGTACATAATTCCGTGTAAAGTGGACTGCACTTTCCTCTTCTTACAGGAAGGGGGCGTACTCATTCCCTGGTGCGACCCACGATGGCCAGGATGTAAAGGAAGATGTTGATGATGTCGGTGTAGAGGTTAAGAGCTGCATAGACGTACTCCTCTGGGCTAATGGCCATCTTCTTGTTGCCCAGGAGAAGCTGGGTGTCCACAGCCAGGAACTGTGAAAGAATAAACAAGCACTGAGTATCGCATTCATTCTTGGGGAAATAAAACGAGCTGAACTGCTACAGAGATTGAAAATTATATTAATCTTTTCCTTTTCTTCGTTTTTTAAAGATGTGTGCTATTATATACAATTTTCACCTTGTGGGTGATTTAAAAAATCTCATAGACTTACATCGAAGGAGTGATTCAAATAATATTTAGGGACTAGAATATCATAAAGGCTCTTTTAACACTTTAAGCTTATAAGCAATCACCTAGCACAATGCACTGGGCCTAGCAGCACCGCTGATGTTTTATTCAGAAACTACAAAATCGTGTGTTCTCAAATCATTAGCAAATACTACATGAAGTTCACTGGGTTTGTATCCTGCTTTACTGCAATAGTTACACTATTCTGTTTAAAAGTTTGCAGTCAGTCTGTTCTTTGGAGCTTTCTCTTGATCAAAGAATCCTGAAAAAATGTATCAATGTATTGATTAAGATTGATTATAATAAGAAATCTCCAAATCAGCATATTAGAATGATTTCTGAAGGATCATGCAGCACTGAAAACTGGAGTAATAGCTGCTGAATTCAGCTTTGCCAATCACAGCAATAATTAACACTTTAAAATATATTCAAATAGAAAAAGGTTATTTTAAATTACAATAATATTTCACAATATTACTGTCCTTACTGTATTTTTGATCAAATAAATGCAGTCTTGGTGAGCGTAAGAGATTTCTTTCAAAAACATTAAAAAAAAAAACTTACCAATCCAAATTTTGAATGGTACTGCACATCATAATTTCCTGAAGGATTTATCCAAGAACTCTACAGTAATTTCCTGATGTTCCAACAGCTTAATCTCACTGCTCCAAAAGACATATGATTTTATACAGCCAGTCAGACTGGAAAATTGGAGATTTCGAAAGGGCCCAAATTTGGTGACCCAGTTTAAGACAGATGGTGAAACGTTTTACATGTACCTCACAGCAAAGACATAATTCTTACACCATTTTGACAAAGGACGATGACTTTAATAGCAAACAATTAAACTATAATAGCAAAGTGCAGGTTTCCACTTTTGAAAGATATATGTTCGCCAAACCAGCATGCTATTGATCAAACAAACTGTCCAAACCCTAATAATCTTATCTATTTTTAATTTTTCTTAATCTAATGGTTATTTAATCTTAAAGTGCAGTAGCAAAGCACCACTCCAGCCATTAGTCCAGACTTCTGTTTTATTATCTTGTTGAAAACAGCAGTGTAGTTTAATGAAGTGTGGAAGTCACAATACAATGTCTTTTCTAAAGTCTAAGAAGTGTTTTGTTTCTAAAGTGAGTAAGCTGAAATATCTGAAGAGATGAAAAAAGAAAAAAAGAAAAAAGTTAACTAAATCTAACCAGAGAGAGAAGATCAGCTGTACAACTTAACATTTCTTTTCAATAAATTGACAGCTAGAATGCCAAAGGTTTTAAAAGTTATCAATAACGCAAGTAAAGAATAGATTGACGAAAAAAAGGTCTGACAAATTTAACAGTCTCCGTAACACAGAAGTATACATTTACGTGAACATTTTTTTTTTAAAGGATATTAAGGTATTGATGGTTTTACTTACACAAGTGAACAGCAGGGCCCCGAGCGAGGCGTAGACGATGTGGAGAATTTTGTTTTGGATGAAGATGCAGAGGAAAGAGGCCAGGAGAAGGACAATCAGACAGACAAAAAGAACACCCCAGCAGGAAGTGAAGTCATATTTGCTCTATTTTTGAAAAAGAGAAGGATAATGACAATCAGTGGTGGTTACCGCATACAAAGGATGCATGGAAGACACTTGATAAAACCTCCTAGTTCAAACGTTCGGAAAGTAATTCTGCAATAGTTGAATGGGAAGGTCCACAACCGTGAACTACACTATGAAATCCTGACATGCTGTCATTATAAACTTGAGATGTTGTTTGGTAACAAAGTGTGAATACAATACAATACAATACAATAAAATAAAAAGAAGAAAAACTATGAGACTGCTACAGTGAGCAAACAAACCTGCAATGAGAAAAGCACAACTGTGAAGCAGACCACCGCAGTGATGCCCACTGCCATGATAACTGCATCTGTATCATAGTAGCTGGCGACCATTCCAACCATATAGGACAGACTCAGGGTCAGGATGGACTGAGAAAGAAGAAATACAGTTAGCTATATACTAAAACATTTAACAAAAATATTTAACATATTGCAGACAACTAATTTTTCCAGTTTGCAAATCATATTAAATCATATAAAAACTAGAACATAGAATACATAGAATAAAAACACGTGTAAATATAGGCAGTTGTACCAGTGCCACCAGGTTCCATGGGTGTTTGCGGCGAAACTCTCCACAGCAGCTGAGAACGATCAGTGAAACAAAGAAGACAGCGTAGGAGACATAGTATGTCCACTGATTTCTCCGTACAAACACTTTGACGTCAGTTGCAAAGGTGAAAACGGCAACAAAAGAGAAGGTGACCAACAGCTGCACGGTCAAGACCATAAACACCTGAGAAGAGAGTAAAGAAACCGTGTTTTTCTTTGACACACTGTACTGCTACATACACCATTTACACACACACATTTGATAAGACCATTTGTAGTAACTGTGTTTAATAAACATTTGTAATTTATTTGTGTGTATACTGTACACTCTGTAATAATGATGTTAAATGTGACATTTTTAGAGATTTTATTTCATTTATTTCCCAATATCTGACCATTTTGAGACTACTATAATTGCCCATTAACTGTGCCTGGCTGATAAACAAAAGTAGTAGTTCCCTATATTCTTTTTTAAGAAATTAAATTCACATCTATAACATTTATTGTTATATTACCTTTCCTCAATTACAAAAAATAGTTAACACTGCTGTGAGGGTTTTTCTTATTTTTAAATACAGCACATTAGATTTTTTTCTTTTGCTATTTAAGCAAATTGGAATGCAAAAAAAAAAGTGTTATTAGTGTCCTAATTTTGTCACCCATGGCTTTTCCATTTTGGCTTTATTTTTGTTAAATAAACAATGACACAGTGCAATATATCATGTGTTGTTGTTCATCTGAGGTTTTATTTTCCAAATTTTAAGAACCAGTTATATGTCCTGATAAGGAAAACCATGGAATTCAATAGTGTCCTAACTTCTTCACATGACTGTGAATATATATATATATATGTGTGTATGTATGTACATACATACATACATACACACACACACACACACACGCGCACACGCACACGCACACGTATATATATGTGTATGTATATATGTATATGTATATATATATATATATCAACACTATAAAAGTTTACCCAAGTAACGTAACCCACCTATGACAACTTCCGCTTCTGAGAAATGTAACAAGGAAATGTGACATGGTTCCATTCTTGCTCATTTTACCTGGAACACTGGACTCTTTCTACAAATTTATTTCAAATCAAATAAAAATAAATAACTAAATAAAGACCCCACCTGAATCGGTCTCTTACTGATTACCTTTCTAATGAAGGCCTGTCGGATACTCTTATCTTCCCAGCCAGAGTTCACAAACTCATCATTGCCATAGTAAGAAGGGGGTCCATCTCCACCGTGGTATCCAGGGCTGTCCATAGAATCTGTCAAAAACATGAAATGATGGGTGAAATCTAAAGTATGTTAGAGCCATCATCTAATGTATTTAAATCCATCTAGTATGCTCATTCAATAAAACGCCGACAGAAATGGAAAAATAGTGAGTCCTGACTAGGGCTGGGTGATATGGGCAAAAATTCATATCTCTGTATTTTTTTGGCCGATTTGCGATATACGGTATATTAGGCCTGGGCGATAGTATTGATATTTATCGACAGTACACCCTCTTCGATAACGATATAAAAAATGTTCGATATAGTGCACGATATAGGCACGTGCTATGAGTGACGCAGACTGCACACACAAACACAAACACATGCTGAATTGAGTGCTGTGCCTGCCTGTGATGAGGAGATTGTGAATAAAAAAATTTATATTAGTCGAATTTAAAATAAACATTTGCATTTGAATGCAAAAATAGTATGATCCAATGTTAGATGTGTGTCAGGGAGCGTCATTAGTGGAGCACGAGATGCGGTGATGATGATGTAAGTGACGTTGTAGTTTAATGTTTTGTTAGTCTAGCCCACGAGACGTGCAGGTGCTGCGTTATTCATTCAAAATATTAGAGAAATATAGAAGCTCAATGCGGAGAAGATCTTGATTAGGTTAAAACCGAAACCAAGCCATTCACACAGAATGCATATTCAGAGCATTTTTTAGACGGAGAAATACGACTGCTGCACTCGTGTCTCACACAAGAGATATATAGAAAGCCATGCAAAGTTAAAACAGTTTAAACTTTTAGACCACACGTCGCAAATTTGTGGAGGTTTATTCCTTTTCACTGCGTCTCTTATGTTTTTAAATGCAATCTGCGTGATGGGCGATTCGGCTCTTTGTATTAAGCAATGCATAAATACATGATGCTGTTTTGTTCATAATAGTTTATGCAATTTATGAAATGATGTTTGATTTATATGAGTTAATTTAGACGTAATGCACGTTTTTTTCTAGACAGTTACTTCCTTTGCGTTGGCAATTTAATGTGCTGCATTATTTTGCTCATTGCACCCTCCTGTGGCTTCAGGAGACAAGCCAAAAGTTTCCTTCAGACTTATTTAATCTGCATATAAAACATTAGAAATGAGATATTTGTTTAATTTTTATTTTGTGTTTGACTGTTAAACCAAAAAATATTTGTTGCTTGTCTCAATAAATTGGGTTAATTCAAAAATACAGTGGTTAAATTTAAAAGTTTTTTTCTATTGCTCTTTGTTTTAAAAAAGGTTATAAAAGATGTCAATAATTATCGATACCGAACGATATTTCACTTACCACCCAATGTTGTCCAACAACACAATACATATTAAAGGCTATGAAAACAAACAAAGTGAATGTAACCATGTAAGCCTTTATATTATGTGCAAAAAAGGGTTAAAATCACATTTCATTCTAACATTGTAACATTGCAATCTAAAAACAAAAATAAGGCTATTAAAGAGGAAGTTAAATTCACTAAACTATAAATGAAAATAAATGAGAACAAAAGCAGAGTTGTTATTTTGCTATTTTGATTACCCCATTACAGCCACTTTACAGTCAGTGCTATCATAAAAATACACTTACTTGTAGGTTTAAAATTCTCCACATTTATTGTCCAACTACAAATATTTCAGCAAAATTTATATTTTAGTCAGAATTAATGCGCTCATATTTAATCGAGCTCTGTCTGTTTGGCACGCATGCGCGCAGCGGCACTTGTTCACTGAAGTCTGTAAAGTTTAGCGGAGAATCCCAAAGCAGAAGGCTCTTGCACTTCTGACAGAAAAATGGAAATATTTCCATGGCTTTCTAACATTTACAGATGTAGAATATACCTGTGAAATGTAAGTTATGCATTCAGGAAGACAGCACATCTCAAACACATTAAACAGCGCGAGTAGCCTAGTGTCTCTGTCAGCGGCACATGCAGCCTTTCTGTCAGAGCATATGACAGGCCGAGCCACTTAAACTAATATGCGAAACGAAACTATAAACTATGTCTTTCCAGTTTTAAAGGACTTAATATGAAGCTTGTCACGTGTTTAGAACAAATTGGATTATGCACTTTCTCCGCAGCAGCTCAGTCGGTGTCCTCCGCTATATTTTCAGATGCGCTCGTATCAAACTAACTTACTGTATATCCATATAAACGGTATTGCCTCATATCGAATCGCTTATAACGAAAATATCGATATATCGTACAAACTTGATATACTGCCCAGCCCAAGTCCTGACATAAACATTTTTCTTTTCTGGAAACGGTTTACCATTAGGATCTACACCAAAGGCAGGCTGGCCGGGCCCCTGCTGGTATGGACCTTGAGCGTAGGGCCCTAATATACAAATACTCTAATAAGCATATAAACTATCTACAAATAGTAGATAAAATAATTATTCAATTTATCAGATTTTAAATGTATTAAACAATCTGATATTATTTTGATATAAAATAATACCATAACTCTAATAAAAAGATGTTTTTATAATATTATAATATATAATTGACTAGTTTCAATATACAGTGCAACTGTTTTTGTAAAGTAAAGTGAAGCTACATTAAAATCATGATGAAATGGAAGTAGCAACAAACTTTTTTCCCCATATTGTAACGTACAGATTCATAAATAAGTGGTTTTATGCTGACTAAATGATTAGAGAAGTCCACCATGCCCAACCCGAGAGAAGTTTGTTGACTGAATTTTGATTAAAAATTTAGGTTAAAAAAGCGGCTGTATTGAAGAATCATTCACAATAAGATCAATGCATTTAGAAATTTTATAGGGTGAATTTTCATTTCTTGCCAACCTTCAAATTTAAATACGGTATATTTTAAAGTAATTTGTGTAGGAGTTACACATCCTAAAACTAAAAATGGACAAACCAACAATAAGCTGTGATGATCTGATCAAAACAACTCTAACTGGACCAACCACAAGTGAACAATCCAGCTCTGTTTACTCAAAGATTCAATTCAGTCCACTGAATAATGGTGCATTTTAACACAAAAGGGGCAGCCAGAAGGCAAAAGGGGCATGATTCAGTGGGAATTACGACTGAATACGGAAAACAAACAACACCTTCAAGAACCTACACCAAACCATACATTATCCAAATATTTATCCAACGGCAGAGGACATAAGATTACAGCTTCTCGGTTGTGCAGCTGAAAGAGAGGAACTGCTATGGACACTGATCTGAATGCATGAGTTGGTGGGGAAACCCCTTCATTTAAATGTGTGAAAGTGAGACTATAAAAAGAAGCTAAGATTCAGTCTGTGAATGACCTGCATCTTGTTTCTAAGTGGTCATCCACACACAATGTGTTTTTGTGTATAAAAAGCTAGATGGAGCATAATGTAATGGAATAAGAAGTTTGTATCTCAAAACTATAGACATCACAGCGCCGGAAGCTGGGAAAAAACTGCAACACAATTTAAAAAGGTTAAAGATGTCCATATAGTATGTTTACCACTGATCTATATAGATCAGTGATGTTTACATACAAAAAAATTATATTGGAGAATTGTAGAATATTATAGAATTGTATTATATAAAATAAAACACTAAATACTAAAAGCAATCATTTGAAATGCTACAAATGAATTTAGGCACCTAAACATTATAATGTACAAATATACTGTATATGTGAAAAATATTAATTTAGAGATTTGTTAAAAGATTACACTTACCAGTGTTTTTAAATTATTAGTTTTTTTTTAAGTGAGTGTTAGATGACAGAAAGGTTCATATAAATGTAAAAATAGGGGAAATTAGTATGGCCAATTAAACAACAACAACTACTTCTACTACAAAAAAATGGTAAAGAATTTATAAGTTTTAATTAGTAAAACTAAACACTGTACATTTTATCAATTGCAATCAACTGTAAAAAACACAAGGCGGCAAGTTAGTCAGCATAACATAATGACCTTCTTATACATATTATAATATTGTAAAATAAATGTCACTATGAATAATCTCTGTCCCCTTTAAGGTATAACAGCACTGTATAACAGCAGTTATGCAACACTGTCCCATTTACTGTGGAAGCCAAATCCCATGTGACTTGATCTCAGCTCAGCGGTCTGCCCAGCGTTACAGACCAGGTTATATTCAGCGGCCGGTTTTCCACTGTCCCCTTCACAGCAGCAGGCCAGGAATTAAATAAAGCAATTCCACATAATTTTCCCCTGACAAATACAGTGACAAAAGTCTTGATCCTTTTAACATATGCAAGACGTCCACAATTATACATTTTTTTTTAGCTCTTAAACAATAATAGCTGGTGTTTGTTTTTGTTGTATTTGGAATGTCAGCTACTGAAAAACACAAGCTATTATTTTGTGTAATCTGCAAATCACATCAGGGTGCTCTATTAAATCTTTGCAGTGCTGAAAGCTCTCCATTCATTAACATCCCTGTCTGTTTATCTCTCAAACTACACAAACCAAATTAAGCAGCTTAATATGTTGCTAAGATCTGTGCTGCTGGTTGCTATTAGATCACTGCACTTATCAAGAATCAGTCAAGTTTGAGAGCTGTTTTTTAAAACATGTAAGCCTGACTGATTCGGTGATTCCAGCATACTTCATTTTAGCTCAGCAGGAAGGCTTTCCAAAGGTTCATGTTTATGACTGGCCTAGGGAGTTACTGGAAATGAAAAATAATATTTGACTGTTCAGTGAAAACCAAATTACTGCAAAGCAGATATTTAAATTTATGATTAATTAGATTAGCTAGAGTCTTTAATCAATAAAAACTCATCTCTTTAAGAAGTGATCAAAGCCCTTGTGGCTTGACGACTCAAATGTAAATACAAAAGCAAATACATTTAAAATGAAGAATTCAATGTATGTGGTATAAAATAAAGCCTGATTTAAAGGTAAATTTGTGATTAGTCTTATGGCACATATGTTTGTCAGCTGACTACTCATTCCTTGATGGTGACACATTTGTAAGCTTTCACTCTTAAAAATAAAGGTTTTAAAATGGGTTTTTCACATTGACAGTGAAAACCCCTGTGACTTTTGGTTTCCAAAAGAACCTTTCAGTGAACAGTTCTTAAAGGTCCTATTATGCTCTTTTACAAAGTCTTGATTTTGTTTTGGGAGTGTACTAGAACAGGCTCTCATACTAGATTGTTCGAAAAACACATTATTTTTCACATATTTTACATTATTATAACACCTCTCTCCCCAGTCTGGCATGAACGTGTGTGCTGTGATTGTTGTGGAATGGAAAAGTTTCATGGATGTTCATCAGGTTCTTCTGATGCATTCAGAATCAGAAGACAGCCTCAAATGTGCCAACGCAAACACTAAAATTAAACATGTATCTTCTTGACCATGGTAATATATCTACAAATGAAGGAAATTTGCTAAAAAATAACTAATTAGCATTTTATTTTATTCCTGCAGAGACAAACTTTGTTTATATTTATATTTATAGCCTACATCTTATTTTTAACGTGAGAGCAGGTGGTCATTTTTAACTTGAATGTGCGATGCTTCCAGGTATTTTAGCTGTACAAAAACAGCCTGTCATGTTGCCTGAACTTGTAAACTGGTATTTCTTTTAGATTATTTTAATTTATTACCATAATCATAAATGCATTGATTTACAGTGCAAATAGTTTTATTGTTTACGTCACTTTGCTATTCTTCTGGTTACAACCTATAGCAGCTAATGAAGCCAAATTCTCAATTCACATTAAAATAAACTCTGCTTAAAATTAGGCTTGCTGATACTCATATTTTAATCATTAAGGTCATGAACCTGGAACATGGGTGTGTGTTGATGATAATATAAGGAGAAATATATCTAGATTCAAGATTTAGTAAAAGATCCCAATTTAAAGAAACCAAACCAACAGATGAAAAATTATTTTCAAAAACGGCTAAACTTGTAACAGCAATGGAATGGATGTGGATGTCAACACATTTCACAAAGATGTGTAGGAAAAATCTGATATAAAAGAGCAACAGCTAGAGAGGTCTCTGAGGACTGTTGTCCAAACTGGTGATTCAATTGACCTATCGGTAAGCCCCACCCCCCTTAGTTACGGTTGCAAACTCGGACAAACAAACGGAGTTGCTAACTGTCTTACAATGACAGCTGTCAGTGTGAAAACCTTGTCATCCCTATATCTTTTTGATAAATTTTGCACACAAAATGACCACCATTCAAGTGGGACTTAAATATGCCATGGAGGCATATATAAAGATTTAAAAAATAAATATTGTGGGTAGTAATTTGGAAGCGAGGGTTCACAGATCACAATGCAAGCGGGAGAAGCCTCATGTTAACATCCCGGATCAACACTGTTCATGTATCGCAGGGTTCGATTAAATTAATTTACATTTAAGCAGTTTAATATGAAGAGACAGTGAAATGTAGACCTTCGTTTTTGTCCTATACAAGAGGTGAGAACAGTCCGCTATTTAGGTTTGTTTGGACTCACTAACTTTTAGCCAGAGATAACAACTGAAAATTGTAACTTATTGAGACTATGACGACCAGAAAACGAACGTTTTTGTCTTCATTGGGATTGGGGGTGCATGCTTTGGGACATTTTGCTCCGTTTTGTTTGGGTTTAAGAAATAGAATAAAATTAATTCCATTGCCTATCCTCTCAGGATACCTGAAATCACTGTTACAAGTAACCCAGGCACATCGTTTTTCCATTTTTGAAGCATAAACTCCATAAAAACGACACAAGCTTTGGAACTTCCAATGTTTCTTTATGGCGCTGAAACCTACTGTTGTCCGAGTTCCGCTCCCCGTGCTACTGATACTCAACTGCCATTGGCTCATCTGCGTTCGAGGGGAGGGGCTTACCGATAGGTCAACTCAGTCTAGGAAGGGTTACAAAAGCAGAAAGATCCTCTTAGGTGACATGTGGTGGATAAATGAAATGGGCACTTCACTTGGCTACTGCTGAAGTGGTTCACGGAGGGAATTATATGGAGGGAACATTGCTTCAGTGAGCCAAACACCTCACAGTTTGCACAAATCACTAAGCATTAGTGAACAGTGTTACAGACCTAAACCCAAATATGTTTACATACTTAAACATAAAAACTGGGCTTGTGCTTAGAAGCCACAGCACTCAAAACAAAACAACAAACTTGGCTATTTTGAGAAACAATGACAAATGCAGATTAGACAAAATCTAAAATTATTAATCAATCGAATATGCTGTAAGTGAAGCTTAAAATTAGTACTGTTTTTTCTTATTTCACAGCCTTCTAATGCATGTGGCTCTTAAAAATACAAAACTCAACATATACTACCTTCAAATGCTTAGGGGCAGTACATTTTTTTTTAAAGAAATGAATGCTATTATTCAGAGCCTTAAACTGATCAAAAGTGACAGTAAATACTTTTACGACGTTACAGAGAAATATATTTATAACAAATTAATAAATGCTGTTATTTGAACTTGTCATTAAAGAATCCTGAAAAAACTACATAACAGTTTCCACAAAAATATTAAACAGGACATCTGTTTTCAACATTGATAATAATAAGAAATGTTTTTTTAAGCCAAATAAGCATATTATAATTCAGCTTTGCCATCAAAGGAATTAATCATTTAAAAATATATTCAAAAACAAATATTAAATTGTAACAGTGCATAATATTACTGTTTTTACTGTATTATGATCAAATAAATGCAGCCTTAATAAATGTGAGAGAACAGTAGCATATATTTCATGATTATCTGAAAACGTGTATGAACAAAGTTTTAAATCACCAGTTAAAAAAATGGTCAATTGACACATTCCCTAAAAGCCTCACAAAGTTCCATAGCAGATGTGTGTCTCGATTATTTCCATGAATATTTAGTCCATTCTGTAATCTATGGACCTACGTCAAATTCATTCATATTTCTCCAAGGCATTTTCCAAATGAACATGGAAGATGCAGATTCCAGCTTTAAACCACCATCTCAGCATTTTATTTCCATGTGGACGAAGACTCGTGAAGGTAAACATCATCCTCTTGCTCCCATTTAATATGGAGAATGTGCTTTTACACTACACTGAATGGTATCGATTAAATGGCATAGATTAAATAACATTATGTGAAAAAAACTGAGGCAGTTCATGGCTGCATAAACAGGAGCTTTATACGTTGACTCTGTTTGCATTGGTTACAGGATGCATTAGCATGCATGCATGAGCATATTATGACAGCTAACCAACCAGGAACCAAGCTAAATTAGATAAGGTTGATGACTTTAAAGAGTGGCTAAGCAGATATTTGCAATTGTCCATCAACTGAATGACAAACTTCAGAATTTGGTCAGCTGAAAAGCACCAAGCACTGTGCCCAAAAGAAAAAAGCCACCTACTCCTCAACTACAAGACAAAAGGACATATCGCCAACACCTATTGTTTGAAAAACTGTATAAAATTTGTAGAACAACAATGCACAATGTACAATGTCACGAAACAAATAATAATAGTTTTTAAGCAAGCCTGGGGAAATGGATGTGGGTATTGAGCTGTATAATTTGCTGAGAGGGGTAGAAAGGGATGATGAGTAGGCCTGAATGTTATCCAGGAAAGCGAGTAGGTGTTGACTTGGCAAATAGTGAGGAGAGAACATAAATTTTAGAGAAAATAAAACAAATAAAATATTACAAGGATTCCCTATGATAAAGCTTATTGGGCTTAAGGCATAATATGCTCCAGTAAGCATAAGCACATGCTCAATGTCAATAAAATGCAAAGTCACGCTGAAAGGAAGAGGCTGTGGTTATCAAGGTCTTGCACATCAGACATGTGATGTGGTTTTTCCAGTTTTTTTTGTTTTGTCTGCATGTTGCAAAACATGGATTTGAATATGACTGACTGCTGTCCTTTTGCTTAGCAAAAAGAAACCATTACAGACTGTGTATGGCAAGCTGTTTAAGCAATTATTCCTTTGCAACAAATAATATCTATTTTTGTGTTACTATCACTTAACTTACTAACAATTAATCCAATAGTGACATTTTTTCCAATTTCACTATAATTATTTCACTATTCATTAGATATTAGTATTTGTTTATTAG